ATTGCTCCCCATTGTCCCCCATCGCCCTCCAGCCCCCCAGCCCCCCCACTGCCCCCCCAGTGCCTCCAATTGCCCCCCCAGCCTCCCCCAGACTTCCGATCGCCCCCCCCATCGCCCCCCATCGCCCACCTCCACCTCCTCGTGGCTGCCGGGCAGGCGCTGCTCCAGGAACATGGCGGTGTGGTGCCGCATCCACTGCAGCAGCAGCGTCACCGCGCTGTAGTACTGCTGCCAGCGCAGCTGCAGCTCCTGCAACGCGTGAGAACACGGGATGCGGCCACGGGGCGCAACCATGGGATGCAGCGACGGGATGCGATCACGGGGTGCAAACATGGGGGGCAGCAAGGGGATGCGGCAACAATGAGATGCAGTAATGGGGTGCAGTAATGGGATGCAACAAAGGGATGCACAAAGGGATTCAACAAAGAGATGCAACAAAGGGATGCAGCAATGGGATGCAACAAGGCGATGCAACAAGGGGATGCAGCAAGGGGGCGTGACAAAGGGTTGCAGCAACTGGATGCAACGAAGGGACGCAGCAAGGGGATGCAACAAAGGGGTGCAACAAAGGGATGCACAATGGGGTGCAATGAAGGGATGCACAAAGGGATTCAACAAAGGGATGCAACAATAGGGTGCAACAAAGGGATGCAGCAATGGGATGCAACAATGGGATGCATAAAGGAATGCAGCAAGGGGATGCAGCAAGGGGATGCAACAATGGGATGCACAAAGGGATGCAACAAAGGGATGCAGCAAGGGGATGCAACAAAGGGGTGCACAAAGGGATGCAACAATAGGGTGCAGCGAAGAGATGCAGCAATGGGATGTAACAATGGGATGCAGCAATAGGATGCAACAAAGGGGTGCAACAAAGGGGTGCACAAAGGGATGCAACAAAAGGGTGCAGCGAAGGGATGCAGCAATGGGATGCACAATGGGATGCAGCAATAGGATGCAACAATGGGATGCATGCACAGGATGCAACAAAGGAATGCAATCACGGGACGCAGCCACGGGATGCAACAATGGGAAACAAGCATGGGGTGCAGGCATGGGATGCAACAAGTGCATGCAGCAATGGGATGCAACGAAGGCATGCAGCAACAGAACTCAACAATGGGATGCAACAGGGGACTGCAAGAAAGGGATGCAGCCATGGGATGCAGCCATGCAACGCAACAATGCAAAAACAACCATGGGATGCAGCCACGGGATGCAGCAATTGCACGTAACCACGGGATGCAGCCATGCAACGTAGCAAAGGTGCACAACAGTGGGACTGCTATGGGGCTGACCCCCCCGCTATGGGGCTGAGCTCAGTGCTATGGGACATAGCTGTGGGTCCGACACCCCTGCTATGGGGTTCACCCCCTTGCTATGGGGCTGACCCCCCCGCTATTGGGCTGAGCCCCATGCTATGGGGCTGAGCTCAGTGCTATGGGTCTGACCCCCCCTGCTATGGGGCTGAGCTCAGTGCTATGGGGCAGAGCTGTGGGTCTGAGCCCCCTACAATGGGTCTGCCCCCCCGCTATGGTTCTGACCCCCCCGCTATGGGTCTGCCCCTCCGCTACGGGGCTGAACGCAGTTCTATGGGTCTGCCCCCCCAGCTATGGGGCTGAATGCAGTGCTATGGGTCTGGACCCCCTACTATGAATCTGACCCCCCCAACTAAGGGCCTGAGCCCCCCGCTATGGGGCTGAACACAGTGCTATGGGTCAGCTCCCCCCCCTCGCTGTGGGTCTGCTCCCCCTGCCATGGGGCTGAGCTCAGTGCTATGGGTCAGCCCCCCCGCTATGGGGCTGAGCTCAGTGCTATGGGTCAGCCCCCCCCCCGCGGTGGGGCAGCCCGCCCCCCACTCACGTCGGTGCCGTCGCCGCGGTCGCCGTGTCGCGGCAGGGCGTCGTACAGCGAGGACACGTAGGTGATGATGGATTTCTCGTCCGGCTGCGCCACCGCCACGTCTGCAGCGCCAGCACCGCTCGCAGCCCGACCCACGGCTGCCCCACGGCCGCCCCACACCCTGACCCACGGCTGCCCCACAGCTGCCCCACTGCCACCCCACTGCCGCCCCACGGCTGCCCCACTGCCTGACCCACGGCCGCCCCACTGCCACCACCTGGCTGCCCCACTGCTGCCCATTGCCACTCACAGCCTCCCCACTGCCACCCCACTGCCCCCTCATAGCCACCTCGCTGCCACCCCATGGCTGCCCCACTGCCACCCCACGGCTGCCCCACTGCCTGACCCACGGCTGCCCCACAGCTGCCCCACTGCCACCCACTTCCTGAGCCACTGCCATCCCACAGCCACCCCACTGCCACCTCACTGCAGCCCCATGGCTGCCCCACAGCCACCCCACTGCCACCCCACTGCTGCCCCATTGTCACCCCATGACTGCCCCACAGCTCCCCTACATCCACCCCACATCTGCCACCCATCTGCCCCACACCTGCCTCACCTGCCCCACATCAACCCATCTTGTTTGCCCCATCTGCCCCACATCCACCCCACAGCTGCCCCACAACCTCCCCACAGCTGCCCCATATCAGTCCCACATCTGCCCCGCATCCACCCCAAATCCACCCCACGGCTGCCCCACATCCACCCCACATCTGCCCCACTACTGCCCCATATCTGCCCCACAGCTGCCTCAGGGCTGCCCCACATCTCCACATCCACCCCACATCCCACTGTCCCCCATCTGCACCACATCCACCCCACTGCTGCCCATCTGGCCTTCTGCTGCCCCATGGTTGCCCCACATCAGCCCTTCTGCCCCATGGCTGCCACCCTCCTGCCCCCATTGGGGGGCGCTCTGCCCCACCACTGCCCCCCATCCGCCCCCCATGTGGGTCGCGTACCCTCAGGGTCGAGCAGCTGCGTGACCCCCAGCTCTGCCCCACATCCTGCCCCACATCTGCCCCCATTTCCCCCCCTCTGCCCCCATGTGGTGCAGCCATGTGACCCCCAGCTCTGCCCCACACCTGCCCCCCATCTGCCCCATATCTACCCCATATCCTGCCCCACACCTGCCCCACTCCTGCCCTACATCTGCCCCACACCTGCCCCCCATCCACCCCCCATCTCCCCTCCCCTGCCCCCCCCGTGGGTGCCGTACCCTCGGGGTCCAGCAGCCTGGTGACCCCCAGCTCGGTCTCTGCGACGCTGAAGGCCTGCTCCAGGTTCTGCAGGCTGCTCTGCTGCTGCACCCGCCCCATGTCCACCAAATGCGGCCTGCGGGGGGGCACGGGGGGGCAGGGCGGTCGTGGGGGGTGGGGAGGGGAGATGGGGGGACGT